CAGTGCAAGTGCAGCCCCCCAGGCAGTACCTCCTCCTCGAAGTGCTGCTGGATCCGCTCCAGGGCCTCCCTGTGCTCCTCTCTCATCCTCTCCATCCTCCTCTCGTGCTCCTTCTCCACCTCCCGCCGTCTGTCGCCCATCAGCTCGCTGAGCTGCAGGGGGGGCAGGGAAAGGGGCTCCCCTGAGCTGCAGCACTGCACCGGAGTGGGGTCCCCAAAACCAGCCCCCCACCCAGCCCAGGGCACAGCGGGATCAGTGTCACAGACATCTTCTATGGAAAATCCTTTCCTCAGAAGTTTGCCTCCTGAGAAACTGAAAGGCCTCAGGAACAAAATGCAAACAATGGGTATCTGCTGCTGTGGAATGCAACAGGTGCATCTGGGATTGGGCTCATGTGGTTGTTTCTAATTAATGACAAATCACAATCCGGCTGTCCGGACTGTCTCTGTCAACCACAAGCCTTTGTTATCATTTCTTCTTTTTCTATTCTTAGCTAGCCTTCTGATGAAATCCTTTCTTCTATTCTTTTAGTATAGTTTTAATATAATGTATATCATAAAATAATAAATCAGCCTTCTAAAACATAGAGTCATATCCTCATCTCTTCCCTCATCCTCAGACCCCTGTGAACACGGTCACAGCATCAGGGCCTGTGTCCTGGGGTGCACAAAGCCTTCACCCCATTGAGGTGAGATGCTGGGAGATGTCCTGCCCCCCAAGGCAGGGATGTGGGCACCCAGAGCTCTCCCCACACCTGAAAACGTGAAGAACCCTCAGCACAGAGCCACCACTCACCTCACGCTCGTATTCCTTCACTTTTAGGGCTTTTTCCTGCACTTTCTGGTCTGCCCTCTGCAGTTCCTCACGTAGCTGGGCCTCCTGGCTGCTCTGTGCCTCTGCCAGCTGGGCCTGCAGGCTGGCAATGACCTGGCAGGAAAGGCACCCACAGAGACTCCTCAGCCTCTGCACAGGATCCATCCCATGCCCTCCCCAGCCCCACCAGCCCTGCCTGCAGCTGAACCAGACCAGAAACACAGCCAGGGAGGGGGGAAAAAACTAATGCCACCCTCCCTGGCCACCTCTGGTGACAGCATGAGGGGAAAAATAAAAGCCAGCCATTGACATTCTGAGGACACCATCCTCACCTCACGGTGCTTCTCCTCGGCTGCAGCCCTCAGCTGCTGGAGCTCCCTGGCACTCTGTTCCTCCAGCTCCTCTGCTGCCTGCACAAACACGAGCACAACAGTCTGCTGGGAAAGCTCTGCGTGTGGGGGTGAGGTGCATTTGCAATTAAACCCTGTTCAAAAGCACCAAAAGGCACAGCAGTGACCTCCCCTCCCTCCAAATGGGATCACTGCAGGTGCCTTCACTCCCTCTGTGCTTTCCCTCCATGGTTCTCCATGAATCCCTGTCATGCTGGGCTGCAGGGACTGGAAATGCCCAACCAAGGGGCTGCCCAGGTCCCTGCAGGGCTGAACCAGCAGCCAGAGAGGGGCTGGCAGCTGATAAAGGCTCAGCTCAGTTCTGATCTGATAACAGGGCTGGGGACACACACAGCGATCCTCACCTCGTCTTCAGATGCAGAGTGGCCATTGCAGTAATTGTTAGTTAATCAATAACAACTGGGGAGCCCTCCTGCCCACCTCCCTGTGCCCCCAACAGCCCTGGCACCTGCCCTTGGTGCCCTAAGAGAGCTGTCCCCAAACCCTGCAGGTGTGAGTTAACCCCACACCTGGCACTGCCCTGCCAGCCAGGAATGGCTCAGCCTGGCCATAAGGATCTCACCTTCTTCTTCTCCCTGTCCAGCCTGTCCCTGAGCTGGCTCAGGAACTCCTCCTGCTCCTGCTCCAGCTCACCCATCTCCTTCTGCCGGGCCTCCTCTGCTGCCAGCCTCATCTCCTCCAGGGCAAGCTGCTGCTGCCTCTGCAGCCTCTCCCGCTCCAGCAGCTGCTGGGACTGCCACTCGTCCCTGAGCTGCTGCAGCCTGGCCTCCTGCTCGGCCCTGCTGGGTGTGGGACAGAGCACAGGCATGGGATCCATGCAGGGGGCTCAGCCCTGCTGCGTTTGTGCCCACCCTGCCCTCCCAAAGCAGCCCTGCACAGCCCAGGAGGGGCAGCAGAACCTCCCACCTCATCCTCTGCTCCTCTGCCTCCAGCTCTGAGGCCATTTGGGCTCGCAGCTCCTCCAGCCTCTGGGCTTTTTCCTCTCTGAGCAGCAGCTCTTGCTCTTCCTGCTCAGGCTTTGCTAAATCTTCTTCTGGAGCGCTGACAGAAAATAAAACCAAAGGAAATGGGTTCAGTATCTCCCAGTCCCCTGTCCAAGGGCTCCAGCTCAGCTGGGGTGACACATTAATTCCCCCCACACCTGCAGGACCTGCTGCTGGCACAGGAGATGCAGCCCCAGCACCAGCTCTGAGCAGTGTGGGTTTAAAACTTGCTATCTCATCACAGTTTACACTTCTTTGGGGGATTTTTGGGGTTTTTTTGCAGGTGAGTGAAATCCACTCTCACTAAATGCATGCAGGCTCCCAGGCAAGGTACCTGGATGCATTAGCACATCTGGAAGCTTCACATTTCCATATTATACCTTTTGCTACACTTTTTTTTTCCCCTTCAGGTGCCATTTCTGCATCTTCCTGGTGAGCCCTGACCCAATGCCTGTCCTTCCTCCTCCTCCTCCTCCTCCTCCCTGAGAGCCCTGATCCTGCTCCTTCCCCAGCTCTGCCCCATTCCCAGTGGTGCCTACAGCAGCACTGAAATCCCCCTTGGAAAGGCTTGCAGGAGATGGAGTAAAAAAGGAAAGTACCTGAGGGGCTTTTCTTTTTGCTGATGAAGCTTTTCAGCTTCCTCCTCCTCCTCCTCCTGCCTCATCTCCTCCTGGAATTGCTGGGTTTTCTCCTCCTTTGCTGGAAATAAATGTATTTCCTCTTGCTCCAGCTCTGTCTCCACCTCCCTGACGATTTCCTCCAGGGATTCATCGGGAGGCTGGCTCAAGGACTGCTCCATGTCCTTCTCAGGTTCCCTACCAAAGACAAAGAGCTCCTTTGGCAAAAGGGTGACAGAAAATGAGAAACATAAAAGGAGCAGTGACCTCCTCCACAGAGCATCAACCCCAAACCAACAATCCCAGAGCCACCTACTCCAAAAGCTTCACTGCTGACCCCAGGTGGACCCTGAGGATCACTGGTGGCTCCAGAGAATCTCCAGCTGATCAATGAGCCCAGCTGCACCCCAGGCCCAAATAACTCTGGTTTTGGCCCACCCAAAATAAAATCTGACAATAAAATCTGGCTTGGTGAAAAGCCCTGGCCAGGCTGCCAGGCACAGGAGCAGATCCATCAGTACCTGCTCCCAAGGTATCCCTCCCAGCCCAGGGATTGCTGCTGCTCATGGACCAGGTATCCTTCTGCAATTGCAGCCTGAAGTGTGCTGGGAATTTGCCAGCTCCAGGCAACAGAAAGCCCTCAGCACTCCAAAAACCCAAACCCAATCTGGTCCTAATTAAGTATTTTTCAGAGAGACAGCAGCAAAATTTTAAGCTGAAGGGGAAGGAGGGGAAAATCAAGATTAGTCTAGGAAGGAAGATTTTTGTTCTTTGCTAGTGAACAAAGCAAGAAGGTCTCCCCACGCTGTGAGACTGGCAGGGCAAGGCAGAGGGATCCTGCCAGCAACCAGGGAAATAACAGCCCCAGCTCCTCACCTCAGTCAGGAGAGAAAAGGTCATTTCTGCAGCCATTAGCACAAAGAGCAAGGCACAGCAAAGTGTCTGAGGGGGCTCTGGAACAATCCCCCTTCGTGGAGCCCCCCTTGCACCAGGTGTCCTTCACCAGGCTGCTCTGCAGAGCCATTCAGCCCCTTCCACCTGGGCATCACCTTGCTCCTCTGCCCCAGATTGTGCTGCACAGGAGCCCCAGCACACACACACACACACACACAGACATTTGCACACACACACACACACACACACACACACAGACATTTACACACACACAGACATTTGCACACACACACACACACACACACATACACACAGAGACATTTACACAGCCCCTGGAGAACAGAGATCCCTGTCCCCATGGACACTGCCTGATCCCTGCAGCTGCACCTGCTGCTGTGTCACCGATGGCAATGCAGACTCAGCAGCTCACACCCCCTGAGCTGCAGGTAGGAACCCACACACACCTTAGATCAGCACACAACAGCAGCCTGGGCAGGGGCTCAGCTCTGACCCCACTGTTTCACTGCCCCCAAGGTGCCCAGTGGCAGCAAATGGGCTGAATTTGTGGGGTTTTGCCCAGCTCAGCATCACCCAGCAGGTTCTGTGTGGGAGTTTCTCAGGGAGGGAAAATGACACAGTGACACCTGCATGGGGAAAGGCTTTCCCAAAGACAAAGCAGCAGCTCCCCTCATCCCAGGGAGCCCTGAGCTGCTGCCCTGGCCCTGCCCAGGCTGCTCAGCTGGCACTGTGGCAGGGGCACAGCTGCTGGCATGGGCACACAGCCCCGCTGTGCCCACCAAGCCCAGCTGCAGCCACCCCAGGGACAGAGGGACAGGGACAGAGGGACAGGAGGACAGGAGCAGTCACAGCCACACACCAGGCACTGACCCCAAGCCCTTACAGGTTCTGTGAGCCAGGCAGCTCCTCGGGATCCACCAGGCTGTCCAGGGCTCCCTCCTGCTGCTCCTCCCCACGGGGATTCTCTGAGCCCCAGGGCTCCAGGGGCGTCTCAGCAGCACTGGGATCCCTCTCACTGGGCAGCACAAGAGAGGGCACACAAGATCAGGTGAGCTCAGGGCAGGTGGGCAAGGTACTGGCAGAGGCTGCAGCACAGGGGGAGCTGCACAGGGCACACCTGGGCACACCTGGGCACACCTGGGCAGGCTGCAGTGAGCACAGCAAGGCAAGGAGGGCAGGGCAGCAGGAGCTGGAGCTGCCCACACCTCCCTTGTGCCCCTGTTTGTACCATACCTCTCAGCAGCTTCTGCTCCTTTCCTTTGCTCCTTCTCCACACTGGCTTTGCTTTGGTCTTTGTCCTCTTCTCCCAGCTCCTGCAGGTAAAAGCAAACAGGGTGGAGTTTGTGACTCCCTCAGAACTGGGGATATGGGTTTGGCTTTTCTTTCCTGAAGCTCATTTTACAATCCTGAACTCCCTGGAAAGCACAGGAGAGGAATCTCCCAAAAGAGAAATGTCTCCCACACAGAGTGCTGTGGCAAAGAAGCAGAGGCTGCATTGTCTGGGACCAAAAACCACAATTCTGCCTCCCATCCAGGCTCTGGGGCAGGGTGTGAGGGGCTGCACAGTCTCCATCCAGGCATTTCTGACTCCAGGGCACCTCAGTAACCCAGCCCCCCTGGCAGCACACTGAGCATCCAGTTGGCTCATTTGTTGCATAGTAAATACCAGAAATATGAATAGAAAATATCTGAATGTGAAATAATCAGCTGCTCCCTGCTCCCTCTGTCCCTGCAGCAGGGACACCTGAGCAGGGCAAGGACATCCCCCCTCACCTGTCAGCCCCAGGGAAGCAGGCAGGGCCATTCCCAGGGTTTTGGGGACCCCAGCAGGTGAGCCCAGCCCCTGGCACAGGGCCGAGGCAGGGCGGAATTAACGCCGCAGTAATTAATGCAAATGTGCAGCAGAGCAAACGGCAGAAGGGTTCCCTGCAAGTGCTGTCAGCTCCCATCACATCAGCCTGGGCAGGGCCCCCAGCCAGCCCCTCCTGCCCCTGGGACTGATGGCTGCACCTCCCCAGAACCGAGAGCAGCAAACGTTCCCTGGCTCAAATGGGCTCTGCCAGAGCAGCCTGGGACGGGCAGGAGCCAGAAAAATGGGGCAGGGATCATCCTGGAGAGGGGGGAACTGCTCTGAGCCATGAACAGGGATCCTGCAGGGGAACTGCTCACAGGGAACTGCTCTGAGTTCTGGGGATCCTGATTGGGACCTGCTCACAGGGAACTGCTCTGAGCCATGAACAGGGATCCTGCAGGGGAACTGCTCACAGGGAACTGCTCTGAGTTCTGGGGATCCTGATTGGGAACTGCTCACAAGGAACTGCTCTGAGCCTGGGCACAGGGATCCTGACTGGGAACTGCTCACAGGGAACTGCTCTGAGTTCCGGGGATCCTGATTGGGAACCCCTCCCAGGGAACTCTGAGCTCTGGAGCTCCTGCTGCCCCTCTGCCCAGTCCCTCCCTTGGAACCACAGGTTGCAGGAGCCTCAGGACACGTTGGGAAGGTGAGGACAGCCCCCATCTGCAGGGAATGAGGGCAGATTTTAAGCCCTGCCTGTGGAATTGTCAGATCCTTGCCCAGGATCTCTGCAGCCCCAGCAGCTCAGTTTTCTGCAGCCCCAGCTCAGTTTTCACCCAGCTTCATCCCCTGAGGACCCTTCACATGCTGCAGACACAGAACCAGCTGTGTGAACACAGCAATGACAGATCCTGGGCCAGCTCCTCCCTGTGCACAGCCCAGACCCCGCGGGACCGTCTGACATCAGCTCAGATCCTGCTGCAAGGTGCCAGCACTGAACACCTGGCACAGCTCTGCCCTTGTCCTGGGGCTCTGGCACTGCCCAGGCTCCCCAGGGAATGGGCACAGAGCACTCACAGGGCACGGGGGGGGTTTGGGGTGTCCCTGTGGGGCCAGGAGCTCGACTTGGATGGTGTTTGTGGGTTCCTTCCAGCTTGGGATATTG